TGCAAGTAGAAGTTCCTGCTTGGAATTTCTCTCATTTTTTTAACCAAACACCGGTTATGATATTAAAATATTAAATAGATCACACCTTGAAAAGTAGCCTTAAATGTGGATTTTGAGAGCAGTTTGAAGCGATTTCTGGGGTGCGTGTTTTCTGCATCAGGGTGAACTTTAGAAGCTAAATCCTCATAATGAGTTTTTCTCCATCCAAGGACAGGTCTTTGGAATGTCCAAATGCGTACAGTGGAAGTAGATATAGATGGAAACCTCCTTCCCTTATGTTGCTGAAAGTTTGTTTATACTGTGTAACTAAATTGGTACATTGGTGACTCCAAGCGCAAAATTATGTTTTTCAACCATCGGAATCAGAATCAGAAACAACTTTATTGTCAAACAGTCTTTACTCCTACAAAGAAACTTTGGTGACAAGGTGCGTAACAATAGACATAATACATAAATATAAAAATATGAAAATTTACTAAATATACCAATTATAGAATAATAATAATATAGACTATGTGCAATATGTTATTTCATTATTTACAAAATGGTCATGGCCATTTTTTAAGAGGGAGATTTTGTCTTAGGTAAGTATTGAAACAAGACTCTAGTTTGACAAAGAGAATGTTCCTTAGCAGTGCATTTTGTTGGTTTGCAGTGAGCATAAAAGACTCAAACTATGAGGCTATGAAAAGTATTTACTGTAACAGCTAATATAACCTACCGATTTCATAACCTTGAGCGTGCTGCTCCTGGAAATTAAAATCAGAGGGATAACCTTCAAAGTGATTCACTTACAGAATTATATTTCTACAGTTCTATTGAATTTCCTTCAGCAAAACAAATGAAGACTGTAGAAATGAGAAGCTTGAAAGTTGTCATATATTTTTTTTTATTTCTGTCTTTTCAAGGCAGTACAGGTAAGACTGGCTGTGCTTATGATAAAGCTTTACTAACCTCTTCTCTTTAATCTGGGTTATCCATCCAGTGACAAAAAGAAGTGTTCATTTAAAGAAACTAAATAAATAGGCTGCTCTTTATGCTGGTTTAGTTTGTGTGTTAGAGGCAACCACTAGGCTTGGGGAGAAAGAATGGTACTAAATAAAAAGGAGAAAAACAACAATCTATACCACATGTAACATCCCTGGGCTATAGTGAGTTGTAGATATAGTGTGGTACATATGTACAGATGAGTGATAGTAAGGAGTCATTATGTTAGTAATTAAACAGTGATAGCAGTGTATTGTGTATCACATACTGTAACAAAATGGGGAAGTGAGAAATACTCAAGGAAGAACAACACAGCAACAAATCTGTTTCCTACTGAGTCGACTGGAAACAGTAAATCAGCAATTGGCAATGTTATTTTTTTCCATGACCATGTCATGAGATAAAAATTAACAGACTGAATAAATCACCTGTTTTATTGCTCCTGGTGAGTTCAACAAACAGCTGATTGAACTTTGTAGTGTCATATTGTAAATCAATCAAACTGAGAGAGGTTGTAATCAGCCAATGTTTTTCTGACCGCAGTAGCTGCTTCTCTGCACAGAGATAGTATTCAAGACTTGCTTGCATGAAAACAAGTCGAAGTGGCCGTCAACTCCATGTCAGAAAGTTCATATTATCTTAGAGAGCAGGCAGCAGATCTTGTAAAATCAGGCGCCATGAGCGTTGCTCATTTGACAGAGCAAAGGAAGAGCTTGTCAGGGAAACAGCTCGTGTCGCTGGCACTTAAAAGGTCAGCGAACTGAACCCCAACCCCTGGCCCGCCCTCACGCCTGTCTGTCTGTCACCAGTCGCCCACTTCCAGGCGGGTGTCCCCAGCCCTTGTCTAGGCTGCTATCACCCGCCGTCATCCCTTCTGAGCTGCCCCTCTTTGATGACCCAGGCCTCTTGTCAGAGAAGAGCTTCCAGGCAGGCAGAGTGAGGACAGCCCTTTGATAAGGACCCCGACACTTGCCAGCACCGCTGACATGCAGGGGGGATCCTTTGAAGAGCCTGAGCCTTACATGTACCCATCCGTCTGCATACACACATACATACAGTTACACGTGCTTCCAGGGTAGATGGAGAAACGAAGAGATGAGGATTGGGGCACAGTAAAGAGAACTCCCTCCTTTCACTGCCTTTCTTGCTCTGTGATGGTTTTAATGAAGGCATTTGAATTTATTCATCCTGTACTTGAGACGCCTTTAGTGAGGAACCACAAAAAATAAATGTATACAGGGGAGGAGGAGGAGCGAGACAAAAAGTCCATGGTAGTGTCAAAAATGTCAGAAAAGGTCACAGATGCTTTGTTGTATTTTGTCATTTGACTTTCAGTGATAAAAGAGAAACTGGAGACGTACGGTATTCCACGATTTGATTCTTTAAGGAGTTTTTGCTGCATGATTTCACCATACTATTTATCGATTCGATTTTGTAAACATTTGATATCAGTGTAGGCTTGATAGAGGCTGTGGCCAAAGACATCCATAGTCAGGCAGCCCAAGTGTTTATGCCCTCCAACACTGAGCATGATTTGGCTATTGTTATGTCTGCCTTAAAGGTAAACAGACACTGTTTGACACCAGCCCATGATCACCAGTCATAACAATTCTAATCAACAACCAATAGATTTCAGACCTGGCCACTACCACTGCCACGTCATACAAGATAATAAAGTGTTTAGTGTTGGCAGAGCTACAGCTGTTGACGTCAAATTAGTAGGGGAGAGTCGGGACGAGTGAAACGCAGGATGAAAGTAACCCAGCAATTTTCTCCCAGCCCATACAAGTCTTTACAAAACTATGTCAGCACATTCTATAATGTGAGCAATACTTAGCAGAACCTCAAAAAATTGGGTGGATACACTTTTGCGGAGTTATACCGAAGAAGTTGTTTTCAGTCATTCTCAGGATCATCAGACAGATTAGTTAGTACTTACTGCAACACATACTGAAGTCCACCATGTAAATCAGTCAATTTGATTCAAAGCAGGAATTTTAGATAATCTACATTTAAGGCTGATCTACATAGGTCTGAAAAAAAATCCAAATGCGCAATGATTGTAATTGCCATATGTTTTAAAAATGAAATTTATAATTTTTTAATAAGATAAAGGCCATACTTTTTTAATAAGATAAAGGCCATACTATGTTTGCAATTACATATTGAGAAGGACAGTGTCAAATATTTTTATAAAGACAATAATAACATAAACAATTTAAATTTACACCGTTGTGTTTCTTTCGTTCCGACAGGCCAGGACAGAGGAAATAATGCACTTCCATTCTTAGTCAAATTATACCAAAGTAATTCCATATTTGTACACCTGGTATTGACAGAACACACATGTGAGTTGTTGATTACAGCAAAAATTGTTTCTTTTTGTAACATTATCTTTTAAAATGACATTTATTTGAAAAGTGTTTTTATCGTCCCTGCTCTCCCCTACCTAAGGTCATTGTACATTTCAACAAATGGATCCCTGTACAATTTCCAGACCGCACAAAAAGAAATTCCTTTCAACAGTGTTCACCTGCCTGTGTCGCAAAGCTTTAACATCGATCCACATTCCTCACCTTACAAGTGACATTGGCATAAAAAACGTCATTAATAGTTCTCACAGACTCAAAGCAACAAAGTTATTCACATCACTGCAAAACCGCAGTGTGCCCAGAAAGACACATTATTTCCGATGATACCACAAAGAGGACAGTGTTTGTTGATAGAAAAAGGGGGGAAAGGAAAAGAAAGAAAGAACCTCTCATACATTTTCCTCATTCCTTCCTTCTCAGTGTGGCCTTTTTTGTCTGAGTCTGGCTATGTGGAGTAATGATTAACATAGCCAGGCATGGGAAAAGACAGTTACAATGAAGGGGGTTGTTTTGGTATAGCAAATCACCGATTGACCTGCCTCAGCTTCCCAAGCTCACCTGGCAGGTCCCTGAGAGCCAGCGGCTGGCATTCAGGGGTAAAAAAAAAAGGCTACTTAATCATTGTGGAATCACTCAGAAACTCTTGGCAATAAGCAAACAGATAAACCTGGCAACACTGTTAAATCAGGCACGTAGCAAAGCGCTTAACTGAGTGTGGAAAGGTTCACATGAGAAAGCTTTAAAGAGTGTGCAGGGGACTTTTGAGCTTTGTGTAAAAGGTTGAAAAAACAATGTCTGTGATGCGCAACTTATTGACCTGTGATATTTATAAGCCGCTATAGCTGACACAGTGCCTCACCATTTTGTTTTGAGGGTGGGACTCTATCCTGTGTTTAAGTGAAAGCTTTAAATGTTTCAATTTATATATTATAATATATAACAGGATATAATGTATATGTTTAAATTTAAAACTGAAAAAACAAAATGGAAAACGTATATTTCTAAAGTGAGCCTTTATTTCCCAAGTATATATTTCTGTGTTATCAGCATTTCAAATTCAAATGGTTTCATCCTCCAAGTACAATAAATGTGAGATTTGTAATGCCAGGACAACAAACAGTTTGCATTGTAACCATGTACATATACAGTAGTTTACCATTTACAATAACTCCAAGGGCAGGTAGAGATGATGCCACAATGTTGAAAAACAAATTGTTGTTAAAAGACATTTTTGGTATTTAGAAAAGAGACAACTTGCAGAAAACTAGTAAAATTACTTTTTAGAGGTGAAACTGGTCACCAGGGCACTGATCCAAGATAAAATATTGCAGTTTTTATTAAAAAGTCAGAAACACACATTAGCAGCGTGACTTTCACTTAATTACTCGTCACTTTCTGTGCAAATCAACAAATCAACTGTCTTCTTAAAATCCAGGGCTCTGACAGGCTGCTGATTGAACATTGCTTGCACAACTCATAGTGATGTTGGAAACCCGTCCATACTGACGACTTAACCTTCTACAGGGACAACAGGCCCTGACACACAATAAAATCAAAATACAATCACCCAAACATAAACTGTTGTTACAGTTTGTAGGGAGAGAAAGTCAAGTAGATGACCTGGTGTGTTTCTCTTATCAGGTGGACGACCAGATGAAGCTGCTGCAGAACTGCTGGAGTGAACTCCTCATCCTAGACCACGTCTTCCGGCAGGTGGTGCATGCCAAGGAGGGCTCCATCCTATTGGTCACGGGCCAGCAGGTGAGTTGGTTCAATCCCACCCTGGAAATTTCCAGCTACCTCCACCCTTTCCTTTTTCCTCCAAAATCCTGCAAACCATGCATCACTCACTCCTCAAGGGACTCCACAACACCTCCTCAACATTTCCCTTAAAGCCTTATTGATCACTCAGTCACACAGGAGTCACAGCTTCATTAAAAATAGATTACGCTTATAGATATATACTAATGTCACCAGAATAATCAATTTTTTTCTCAGTGCTTGAAACCTCTTCCAGCGAATAAATAAAGCATTCAGTTACGCATGCTGCAGCATAGAGAGTGGGTGGACAGATAAAGAATGTGGCTAAGTGTGTTATTTTGTTTGACTGGGGCCTTTGAGGAAGTTGGCGGAAGCTGATGCCTTAGGCCTAAATGGAGGCCCTCAACGCATCAGGGCACTGTGATTCTGTTTCTGCTTTTGCTTCATACACACATGAAACACCCTCTCAGACAGTGAACACACAAACCCAGGGCACGTAGCGAAGGCTTCTTCAGCGCTGGGCGATTTTCATAATCTCATGCGCTCACAAAGACATGAAACTGCTCATCATGAAAATGCCTCTGACCAGTGGCATGGCTGTCAGTGAGATGAGAAGTCATAAATTATCGATTGGCTAGCTCTCCAAAACATTGGTCTTGAACAAAATGTTTTACAACAAAAGATGCTGGTGTAAATATTGAAGGGAGCCAAGTACACTGTATACAGGGAAGTCCTACTTTAATTCCATGATTCTGAATGAAGACAAGGTCAGGGGTAGATTTTTCAGAACAATTGAAGAAGTACTGCCTGTTGTAAATAAACAGTAGTAGTACAAACCGTAGCAAGTAATACTATCTTAGTGGAAGTGTATACCATGCCAGTGTGGACTTAAAAACTAAAAATTGGTTGCAGTCTGTCAGTATCAAGAATGCAGAAGGGACAATAATGAAGTACATAAGTGAAGAGAAAAATGAGAGAAAAGGAAGGAAGAGTCAAAGAGAAGAAATATTGGGATAACAGGTGGTGGAGAGTGGGAGAAATGATGGAGGAGAACAGAAATGGAGGAGTACAGATGCACAATGAGGGCAGAATTAGAGGAGAGGAACTGATGGAAGCAGGAGGTGAAGGAGAAAAAGGGATAAAGATGAGTGAAGAGGAGAAAATGTGAGGAGAAATTAAGGACTGAGTGGAGAGGAAAGAGGGAGAAAGAGGTCTTGTGAGAAAAGAGTAGGAAGGAGTGATAAAGGAGAAGGAGAGAGAAGAGGAGAGAAGAAGAAGGTGGTAATAAGGAAGAAGTGAAGGAGGTAAGAAGGTTCATGCTGTCATGAAGAAAAGAGAAGGAGCAAAATGCAGAAAAGAAACAAATGAGAAAGAGACAGGGCATAAATAAGGGCCTGAGAGAGGACAGGAGGTGAAAAAACGTGGTAAGGGACGAGAAGGAGAAGAAATCTGGAGGTTTCGAGGAGGACATGATGAGGCGTAGGGGAGAAGAGAGGCAGTGTGAAGAGACCAGAGCGGTACGGAGGCAGGGAAGGGGGGTGGGATAATCAGGGGAGGCGCAGGGCGGCGGTTTCGTTTGCATACTTTGGTTAATGAACAGCTGGTGTTGGCGAGGGGGGGCAATGGGGAAAAGTCTGTGTGTGTGTGTGTGTGTGTGTGTGTGTGTGTGTGTGTGTGAAGCTCTGACACCAGTTCATTATTTCCTATTATTCTCTGCCTGGCCAGGGGTGACAGCACAGCGATACCACCAGGGATATTTAGAACACAGTAGCAGCATCACCCAAAGCCAAATGCTACACTCACAACAAATCACATAATGACTGTTTAGGCCGACATACTTCGCTGAGCATTGGCCACATTGATCTGTAATGTGCTAATAACTTAATTGTTACAATATGCTCATCTTTTGGTCTGTGGGATAGCATAAGAACTTGATAAGGGTGAAGCCAACTTCAGTGTTCTTGAGTAAAACACAATCTGCCTGCATTACAAAATACATTACAGTCAAAAGTTGGACCATGTAAGACTGTCGTGGCCACTCAGTCATGTTCAGTGAGGGAGTTATCTGTGATCAAATTGTTTTTTGTTATGTGGTTCTTCTGCATTTCTCCCTCTTTTGCTAAAACTCAGAGAGGGGGGTTGAACCTTATTCAGAACAAGTAGGTAAAGAAAGATTTTCCTGTTAAGAAAAAGTCCACTCGTTGCATTACATTATAGTCTATTTTTTGCTATAAATTCCAGTAACGCAGATCAGGTCACAAAGTTTAGTTGATGAAGTTGATGAAGTTTGTGTTAGGAACAATTTAAATGTCCTCATGTCTGCAGATATTTTTAGTTCATGTGACTTTAAGACAGAAGATTTGTTCAAATGGAAATTTGGACATATGTTTCTCCCCTCTTGCTTTGAATCGAGCCGCTTCTTTGCTCTCGTCAGTCACATACTGACCTTTGAAAAGAAATCCATGGCACCAGCAGATTTACTGTTATAGCCTGTCATTCGGTTTCTGTCTTGCTCTTTCTCTTGACCTTATGTTCCACGCTTGCTAATTTCTGTTTTGTTTTTTTCTTATTTTCTCTGGACTGGTGCATGCCGTCATGTCACCAACAGCAGTGAGAATTGGCCATGAGTGTTTTTTAGTAGGCTTCTTCTTTCTACTGTCATAGGATCAAACGCACAGTGTAACAAATGCGTGCAAACATGAAATGACAAAAATTGGACTGAACTTTTGAATGATTAAGCAAGGCCTCGCAGCTTGGCAGCCAGTTCTCGGTATGAAAATCCAGATATTTTGATAGCACAACGCTCCTGGTGTACATGAAATTCAAATGATGAAGAAATGCAAAAACAGATGTTCCTCTGCCACTCACAGATTTCTGTGCTTTCAAACAAGGTACATTTTTTCATCCCCATCTTTCACACACATCAAAGCCCTCTATGCATCACACCAATCTCACCTTCCATCTTTAATGTTCTGCTAAGATTGTTAATCGTATTCATGATGGGTTAAGATTTGAAGGTTTATTCATATATTTACTCTCTCTGTCTCTCCAGGAGGGATAATAAAGTAGTATTGATTGATTGACTGATACGCAGGTCACCAGGGTTAGTGCTAAGTCTGCTATAGTGACATTATAGCATTTTTTTCCTCTCTATTTTTACTTAAGGCAAGAAGGCAATAACCCAAGGCATCACCATCAACAGTCCAATCCTTCAATGAAGTTATTTCATGCACAGTTGATTTTATGTAAATTGATTGACACCTTGGAAGGGGGGCAGTGTCTGCTTTCCACCGAGTCATAATTCTTACCGTCTCGAAGGTGGGAAGAAGAAAAGAGAGAGGGACAAAGGAGTTAACGATAAATTGGGAAAGAGGCACAGTAGTGTAGTAAAAGAGAAATGAAAGAAAAGGAGGGAAGAAGACAGGACATTTACTTTACTTTCCCTTCTTCAGACAGGTGAAAAACAGGCTCCAATCGTCCTATTTACACGATAAATAAATTCCAAACCAAGTGTTTTTAATTGCAAATGGGGGCTCACAGGGACCCTCTTCCTCCCTGAGCTTTAGGAACCGCGCATGCCAACATCTACCTTCCCCTGGAAACCCTAGCACAGTCAATTATGGTAATGAATTGTCAATAAATATAAAAATTTAATATGGTCCTGCTTACTTTGACTGGCAGCTAAGGACTTGCCTCCCAGACAAATGTGCTGCAGCTGCAGATGTGAAGTGCACCTGTACATCTATCTTGTTTTATTTTGTGTCTCAGCATGCATGGTTTTGTTTTGCTGTATAACAGAGAATGGAGAGAGCAAGTCAGATCTGGCAGGTCTAGCCAGTTGGAGGTGAATTCCCATGCTCTCTCCATAAACCCGAAGCATGTTGTCATAAAAAACTGTTAAACTGCAAAAACCTACAGCCTGCAGCTGATTTTTTATGCATCCATCCGGAAAGAAGGGAAAGCTAATATGTAATGAGTCTACTGCATCTAACTAAGCCATCTATGTAGCTGGCTAGCCTAGCTATCCTACAAGTTGCTAACAAGCTATAGGTATGTGAATGTTGAATGCAACATCTATGAATCAATTAAAAAGTCATTTTGGCATTGTATGCTATATGTAGACTATACTAGTGGTGAAAAACTCCACACAGCATCTTCAATCCAAAAGACTTTTTTGCCTTCAGATTAGCCCTGTTTGTGCTAAAATTCAGATCTCACTTTCCAGGTGGACTATGCAGTGATTGCTTCACAGGCGGGAGCCACCCTCAACAACCTTTTGAGTCACGCCCAGGAGCTGGTGGCAAAGCTACGCTCCCTGCAGCTGGACCAACGGGAGTTTGTCTGCCTCAAGTTCCTGGTCCTATTCAGCCTGGGTGAGTCTCTGAAAGCCCTGAAGTGGGAATATTTGTTGTGGGGGATCTGCAGTTAAAGAGGAAATAGTAATGGTCCTCCTAAGCATTAGCAGGCCTCTTTACACTACAGGATTTTTTTGCAGGGAGCAAAATGGGTTACTGGCACTGGTAATCCATAGGTGGGAGAGGGAGGGGGTGGAAAGGAAGGATGAGGAGAAGAGGTGGGAGGGGAGGAAGGATGGGACCAGTGGTCTGGAAGAGACATAAGAGAAAGTGAGCGAGGAAGGAAAGAGGCGAGGTATGGTCCTCAGGGAGAAAAGCAAGCTTATATAGACTTCGCTTTCATGCAAAAGTAAATAAATGCTTGATAAGTTTCAGTTCATATCTTGTTTGTCTTGAGACATTCACTATAGCCAAGCTTGTTTGAAAAGACTTCTAACTCTAATCTGTCTCACAAGTTGAGAAAAAGCAATCATTGGCCGTACCAGCAGCAAGTAACACTCACCTTGTCCTTCTGTGCCACAAACTATTGTTGAGAGAGAGGGTACATCAACATGAGTTGGGAATGTAAATTATTGAGAGTTAACATTTTTTTGAAATTTAGCTGTTGATATCAGCAGTAGTAGAATTTCCTGGAAACACTGTATCAGAAGCAAGACATGATAAAATATGCACAATTAAAATGTGCAAAACCTCCAAAAGAGATGGAATAAAAAGGTTTTTATTTAGCTTTGGGACATAGAACCAAGTCAAGTGGTGAGCTGGGTGTGTGAAAGAAGGTGCACGAGACAATGAGGACGGGGAGTTGGAAGGGAAAGGGAGTGTTTCTTTTTTTCAATTGGATTTTTTGTCTTTTTCCCTCTCACTGAGCTTTGGGGGGTCAGAAAGGAAAGGAGGGATTTGGAGGGGCTAGAGATCAACTGAGGAGGGGAGAAGAGAGGAAGGAAAGGAGGGGAAGAAGGAGATACGATGATGATGAAGTGGGAGGCAGGTACCGTGAAACATTTGGGATGGACAGGTGGGAGGGAGCTGAGGCTGTAAAAAGAGAGAGGGAGCATGGGATTTGGGAAGGGAGGGAAGTGGAGGGATAAGTAGTCAAATGAATTAAGGGACGAAGAGAAGGGGTACGGTGATGTGTGTGTTCAGATCCCAAAGCTGCTCTCCGCTCTCTAAGCCGAGGTCAGCCACTGCCAGGAGACTGTCATCTCTGTCTCTTTCCTAACAAGTCTGCCACAAATGGCCTCTGAGGAATACACACACACGAACACACACACACACACGACCAAATCTATTTTAACATCCTCCATTACAGTGACGTTAAGTTTTCTTTGCTCAACCTGGCCCCTCTATAGCACTGAGAGCAACAGTGGAATACATATAATGAATATTTACCTTATCCTACCCCTGCCTCCATCATCATAATCCACAAGTATTGCACTTTCCCTTCTTTACTTCCTCTGAACAAAGAAAGAAGGACTAATGAACTGCCAGAGAAAGGCACACACAGGCCTACAGTACATACACTGAGGTGATCAGGCAGGATTAATGTTTATGTTAGTGGTGTTACAGTGAAGAAAGAGGGAGGGATGGGGAGGATTGCAGTGGGGCTTTGGGGTGTCTGTCTGTGTGCATGCGTGCGTTTGTTTGTGTGGGTTTTTTTTAATGGGGCGGGGGTGTTGCTCCGGCTCAGGGTCTAAATAATTTGGCAGAAACATCATCCATAATGAAAGGCTCACCTGAGGGATGTGTATCGCCCCCGGCAGTGCCTGTTCTCCGACGTGCCCAGGCCTCACGTAAAAGAAGCCCGACACATACGCCGTAGAGATGGCTGAGGGGATCAGTGGAGGTGGAGGTCGTGGGGGTTGAGGATGAGGGATTGGGAGGGGCTTGGGTAATGCAAAGCAAGGAGATTTTGAATTTATTTGATTAAAATCACACACAGCTGAACAGAGATGTGTGTGTGGGATTGCCTGTTAGAGGCTGAAATACATACATTTACCTGAGGGAAAGTGCATAATGTGTGTGGCAATGAGAAAGCAGGTGTGTGTTCATGCATCTGTGTGTATGCTCACACAGCTGCGCTTGAACCACAAGCAGAGCCAATTAATAAGGATTGTAGTGAAATGAGGCATGAAAGTAGCTCTGCACTCACTGCTGCATTAAAAGATAAGATGTTCCCTCTCTATTGGCTTTATTTCATCTATAACACTGGTCACTGTACTCTCAGCTGGAGCTAATATAAGTGGAGAGTATACATTATGACACAGGTTTGTTACTGGGAACTACTGTTTGTCATTACTGTCATTACTTAACTGCCATTGCCATAATTACCGTGACACTGCTACTTCTATCGCAGATACTGCGATAGAACAGTAATACTACTATCACTACTACTGCTGCCTCAACACCACACAAAGTTTTGGGAGGGTATGTTCTGAAGCAGGACCATACGTAACCAGGCTTAATTTGGCATGAGAATGATCTTACCCTAACCTTCATCTTACCATAGGTGCCATACAGGAATTTTGAACACATTTGCAGTTCATCCAATATCGATGATCCTGTCTGGCAATACAGTTGTATCACTTAATACTGTGCTAATAGCATTGCTCGTACCACTACTGCAACTACAGCTTTCCTATCTGAGTCATGGAAGTAGTTGTGCCCTGTGTTATTTCTCCCTGCCTCTTTTTCTTTCCCTATCACTCTGTGTGTCTTGATTTTTCTCAATATTTCTCCCTCTCTCTCTCTTTCTGTGGATGGACAATCAGTCACCTCCTTCCTGCGAGAAGAGCTTTTAGTTAAGCCAGCTGTCGATAAAGACGGTTATATAGAAGTCACTCCAGCTGAGAGGAGACACTTTTCCTGATCTGTGTGTGTTTTTGTTCTCAGGGTTAGACATCCTTTTTTTTTAAACTTTTTTTTATATTCTCTCTCTTTATCTATCTCTTTATATCACTCTCTCTCTTTCCTCTGTCACACATAGCTTGTCTTAACTGAAGGCTGTCACCCTCTATCGAGGAGGAGATTATCACTCTAAGAGCATTGATCGCTTAAGTGTTTGTAAGACTTCGAGCAATGATTGTGTGTGTTAGGCAAGAGGCACACAAATTGGCAGAGAGAGAGAGAGAGAGAGAGAGAGAGAGTGTGTTCCCTGAGTCAGAGTTCAGTAAACGATTACTACTAGTTGTTGTATGGTGTCAGAACACTGTTAATGTGGCTTTGATTTCCTTTAAAAGGCTTAAAGGCCTAATATAAAGGCTGACAAGTTGTTGTATATATGACCAGATGATGTGGAAGCCCAGAGGTGAGAAATGGGTCACAAGTTCTAATTCAGGCCGAGGAAAGTGAAAAGAAAGAATTTCCACTTTAGGTGGAATTAACTCCCAACTGCACTGTACATGCACAGCAGTAAAATGAGTTTGTGCTAGGCAGCTTCCAGGTATGAAGTTCTGGAGGAAATACTTTTTTTAACAAACAAGGAGGGGCATGTGCTTCCTAAAATGAACACGAAATATGATGCAGCTTAAGACATGCTTAAAATGTACCATTATCAATGGGAAAAGACAAAAATAACAAGCATTATTATTATAATGTTCCCCAAAACTCAAACAGATGTATGCCTGATGCATGCCACCACACAGACGGTTTCCATACTGGCAAAGCAGGCGCAGTGACAGAGGTGAGAGTGTGTTCAGCCAGCCACCAGTTAACCCAGATCTACAGGTCAGACCCCATCAGCTGTAATTTGCTAAGACAGGCGCTGCCAGTCCTTGTCAGCCGAGAGGAGAACCAGAGTGGCTGCCAGACCAGCGCGGGGTGGTAAATGCTCCCAGCGGAGAGAGAGCAGATTTGTGGACAGAGCCCTAAATAATGCTCCCATACTGAAGCCTTTAGAAGGAACAAAGCCAGTGAAAAGCTGATCAAATGTGGAGAATTCAGGCATGTTTGATTCCTCAGCAGTGAAGGTTTATTTAAAGAAGTCGCATTGGTAGTTCTGTGAACTTAATTTCCAAGTGTTTCCCCTCATGCTGCTTTAAATGTAAGAACGGGTCATCAAACTGTATTATACATTTATCTTATGGTTTACAGTATTGCAAGTGATTCCATATTTAGTCAGTGATTCCATATTTAGTCTCAAATGCTTGAAATACAATGATCCATAATTTCATGCATGTTTATTTCATCTGCCTCTTCCAGGAGTGTATTTGAGCTATATCATTTCAGTGAAAATTAAGGCTGCAACTGATGATTATTTTCATCAGCGGTTAGTCCATTGATTATGTTCTTAATTAATCATTTGGTCCAAAACTTCTTTACAAAAAGTAAAAAATGGTTCTGATGATATATTCAGATTGCTTGCTTTGTCCGGCCAACAGTTCAAAATCCAAAGGTAATTAGTTTAATATCAATAAAATGTCATATTTTAAAAGTGGAACCAATTAATGTTTGGAGACAATCAAATAATCAATTAATAATATAATAGTAGTTGTCACAACTATTAAGTGTCCAAAACAGACACTGTTTTCTTGTATGCCTTTAAGTATGCACATTTTCTAAGCCTACACGGCAAAGTTACTGTTGGTTAGGTTAATATATATATATATATATGACAACATATATATATAAAGTCAGTGATTGGAAATCAGTAGTGTTGTCCATTCATAAGAAATCAAGACTGCCTGTGATTCAAGAGCTGCCTCAGCACCACATTAGCTGTTTGTCAACCGATTAGTCAGGCTCTGAGGTCGGAGTTTAGAGACACCCACCAATCCATCCTTCCATCCTTCCCGCCCTCCATCCCTCACCGTCCATCCAGCCCCTCTGCATTGTCTCTGTTCTCATAGCTCTGCCCTTTCTCTCTCTGTTTTTCACATCCATCTTTGTATGCCTCAGTCTATCACAAGTCCATCCTCACTACCTCGGTCACTCCTCGTTTATCTTCACCTACATCTGAACTGTCATTTATCTATGTTTTTCCTCCCTCCCTCAATTTTTCCTCCACCCCTTTCCTTCCTTAA